CCAAAGCCAGTGTGGTCTACCCAGCTGATACTCTGGGACATAGTTCCACAAGAAAGTTTTAAAAAGCCATGCAGGGAGAAGGGAGGGAAAGAAGGAAAATGGGATGAAGAAGGAAACTAAGATGTATGTGCATGTACCAGTTCTCCACAAGGAATGTAAACATTATGTACCACAAACATGTACTAATAAAAAATAAAAAAATTAAAAGCTACTTCATAAAAGCGGGAGAGACAACTGACTGACCAGATGCACAAACATCAACAAAGAGACACAAGTATGAAAGAGCAAATTAACAACCTGGTCCCTCAAAAGGAGCACAATACCTCTCTAATAAGAGCCTCAAATAAAAGTAAATTGGTGAACTGACTGGAAACTAATTCAAAATAATGGTTTAAGAAAACAAGATACAAGAGAATGTAGACCAACTCAGAAAAAAAAAAAATGGGAAAACAACTTATAATCTGAAGGAGAAATTTGGCTAAGAAACATAAACAATAACAAATGAACCAAACAGAAACCATGGAGCCAAACAGTTCAACACAGTAAATGAAATAAAAATTCAGCCAAGCACCCCTACAACAAAGTAGATCACGAGCAAGAATTTCTGAAGTTAAAAACAAGTCTTTTAAAATAAGGTAGTCAAATTGCCAGTCAAGAGGAAGACCCAATACTCTTATGGGCTACTGGACTCTTTTGGAATATTTTGCTGAGTTTACACACCTATAATATTCAAATAACGGAACTTAACAAAAAAAGGGGATACAGACGATTGTATCTGTGCATTCAAAGTGGTTAGGATAGATATATAGTTACATTCTCTTAATGAATAGAGGGATTTGTTCTAATGGTGTTTGTAAATAGGATATTATGTCTGCATCTTGTACAGCAATTAACCACTAGGAAGAATGTATGCAGTGTGTTAATTATTGAAACTGTCCTACCGATTTGATTTGCAACTATCTCATTGCTATTTGTTTATCAATAAAATTATGGGAAAAAACAAAAAAAAACATAATATACTTTAAAAAATAAAATAAGGTAGTCAAATAAAAAATAGGAAGAAGTTCTATGGGATTTATAAGATACAATTAAATGAACAAATATTCATCATATGAGAGTTATAAAAAGAGAAGAAAGGAGTAAGGCGTAGAACCCAATTTAACAAAATAAGAGCTGAAAACTTCCCAAATCTTGGGAAAGATTTGGAGGCGTATGTCCAGGAAATTCAAGACCTTTACTTAGACTCAATTAAGGTTAAGTTATAGTCAAACTCTAAAAAGTTTGAGATAAAAAATATTCTAAAACTAGCAAAAGAAATACTACATATAAGTAGTTTCTCATTAGGGTAACAGCAGTTCTCAGCAGAAGCCTCACAGGCCTCACTGTCAGAGTCTAAGACAGTTGTATTCAAAGTCCCAAAAGAAGGGCTGGGGAGATTGCTCAGTAGAATAAGTGCTTGCCTGGCAAGTGCAAGGGCCTGAGTTCAATCCCCAATTCCACCAAAAAAAAAAAAAAAAAAGTCCCAAAAGAAAAAAAGTTAACCAAGTACATTATAGCTGGAAAATGGAAAGTGGAGGTAAGGAAGGGGAGGGGAAATAAAATGAACTACAGTTTGCTGTATCCATGTACCAACTCCCCATGACTAATGTTATTATGCACTACAACTAGCAATTTTTATAAAAAAAGAAAATACTATAGCAGCCAAAACTATTCCTTACAAAGCAAGGATAAAATGGTCTATGGCAAGCAAACACCACCACCTAACCAACCTTATAAGAAATGTTTAAAGTACTCCTATATCTAAAAACCAAAGAACAGCTTCCACAGGAGGCCTACACGCCGCCGTCGCTGCCGCCGCCATGTCTCTAGTGATCCCTGAGAAGTTCCAGCACATTTTGCGAGTACTCAACACCAACATCGATGGGCGGCGGAAAATAGCCTTTGCCATCACTGCCATTAAGGGTGTGGGGCGAAGGTACGCCCACGTGGTGTTGAGGAAAGCAGACATCGACCTCACCAAGAGGGCTGGAGAGCTCACCGAGGATGAGGTGGAGCGCGTGATCACGATTATGCAGAATCCTCGCCAGTACAAGATCCCAGACTGGTTTCTGAACAGGCAGAAGGATGTGAAGGATGGCAAGTACAGCCAGGTTCTAGCCAACGGTCTGGACAACAAGCTGCGAGAAGACCTGGAGCGGCTGAAGAAGATCCGAGCCCACAGGGGCCTGCGCCACTTCTGGGGTCTGCAAGTCCGAGGCCAGCACACCAAGACCACCGGACGCCGCGGCCGCACCGTGGGTGTGTCCAAGAAGAAGTGAGGCTGCAGGCTTGCTCCGGCAATAAATAGTACATATACCTGCAAAAAAAATAAAAATAAAAATAAAAACCAAAGAACAATAAGTAGTATCATGAAAACATGTGAAAGTATAAAGCTCACTGTTAGACGTATAATAAATGAAGAGAAAATAATGAAATATGATCAATATAGAAAAATCAAACCATACAGATGATCAGAGTAGAAGAAAAAAATGGATGCACAGAACAACCAGAAAAAAAATTGAACAGATGACAGAAGTAGCCATTACTTATCAGTAGTAACTTTCAGTGTAAAGAGATTAAACTATCTACTTAAAATATTTAGACTAGTTGAGTGAAAGAAAGAAAGTAAGAGACAGACAGGCAAAGACCAGTAATGTGCTGCCTATAAAAGCTCAGTTCACCAAAAAAGACATAAAGTGAAAGTAAAGAAATAAAGATATCCCACAAAAATGGGAACCAAAAAATAAGCAGCAGATTAATGAACTTCAAGTCAAAATTGTAAAATAAGACACAGAAAATAACTGTACAATAATGGATTAGATAAGAAGAAATAACTGTTGCAAATGCATAAACACCCAATGCCAGAGTACTCAATTATATTTTTAAAAACCACTTTTAGACCTATAAGGAGAGGAGAATCTAATACAGTAAGAGTTGGAGATTCCAACCCTTTCTCTTCGTCAATCAGCAGATCATTCAGACCAGAAAAGCACAAAAAACACTAGAATTACACCGTGCTGCAGACCAAATGTGCTTAGGAGACAATGACAGGACACGCCAAGCGAGAGCTGCAGACCACACCCTCTATGTCAGTTTCTAGGACAGACCATATTAGGCTATACAATAAGTCACAACAAATTCAAAATAATAGATACATCGTGAATCCTCTCTAGCCATGCTGAAATAAAAGCAAAAATAAACAAATAGACTTTAGAAATTATGCAAATTAATGGAAAGTAAACACGCTCTTGATCAACCAATGGATCACTGAAAAAATTTAAAGAGAAATTTAAGAATTTCTTGAAACAAATGAAAATGAAAACGCAACATACTAAAACCTATAGAACATATCAAATGCAGTATTCAGGGACATCTACAGTAATAAGAGTCTATAACAAAAAGAAAAATAGAAAAAACTCAACCTATTTTTGTTTGCTTGTGTTGTTTTGGGGGGAGTTGGTGTCAGGAATCAAACTCAGGACCTTGTACTTGCCAGGCAGGTGCAGCACTGCTGAGCTATGTCCCCAGCCCTCAAAGTAAGCATAATAATGATGTATATAACTCAAAAAACTAGAAGAGTAAAATAAACCAACCCCCAATTTAATAGTAGCAAAGAAAAGCAAAGTATGGAAAAGAAATAATGTAATCAAGATTTTTTTAAATTATGAAAGGTTAACAAAGTGAAGAAATGGTTTTTCCAGAAGATAAGCAAAGTTGGCAAATCTTTAGTTAGCTAACCAAGAAAAAATGAGATAAAAACAAGAGCAAGAAAAAAAAGGAGCCATCAGAACTGATACCACAAAAAGACAAAGTATCATTTAAGGATAATTATAAAAAACTATATGACAATTGGAAAACCTAGAGGAAATGGTTAACTTTCAAAGCACATGTATTCTACTAAAATTGAATCATGAATATGTAGAAAATTTGAGCAGACTACTAACAAATAAATGGTTGAGTTAGCAATTAGTTGTCTCCCAAGAAAGAGTACACCACGACTAGAAGCCTTCACTGCTGAATTTCACCAAACTTTTAAAGAATTAACACCAATTTTTCTCAAACTATGTTTAAAAATTGAGGGAGCAGGAACTATTTCAAGTGGATTCCATTA